GGGGTCATCTGGGAGAAAGGAGACAAGCAGGGCTGTCCTAGGAACAGGCCCAGTTGCCAGCCTGGGAGCTCTCAGCACTGACGGGGGAAACAGAGGTACAGGCGTGCAAGAGGTCTGAGGCCAACTGTTGCTGTTGGCCAGTTCTGCAGAACTTCACTGAATTAATTAAATGGCCGTCCAGATGAGGAGGGTGTCCTGGGCAGTCCGTTGTACAGATGGGGAAACTGAGGCTCTGAGAGGGGGAGGTTACCCGGTCGGGAAGAGGCAGAGCAGGGATCCAAACTCAGCTGTCTGGAGCCCTCGTGCTGCAGTGTTCACAGACACATGCCCCTCCTCGAGCGTGCGGGCCACCCCATCTGTCCCCATGGCTTCACAACCTGGCCCGCGCTGCCTGTGGACAGTGACGACAGCCCTACCAGCCACTCCAGCAAGCTCTCCCTGGTCCTTCCTGGCATTCCCACAGTGCTGGGCAGCTCCTTTCAGACACTTTCTGAAAATGGGGAAACCGAGTTATGGGAGGACCAGGGACATGTTCAGAAGTGAGGTAGAAAGGAAGGAGAAGGGGGCACATTGAAGAAGGCAACAAAAGCGAGGAGACTGCATCATTGATGTTTCTCTTTTTCTTTCCCTCTCCCTTCCTCTCTGAAATCAATAAAAAGCATATTTTTTTAAAAAGCGTGGAGACTGGGAGGCTGCAGGCAGCTCATGCCCCTGTGAATAGAATTATTGGGATAACCCAGCCCAGACTGTCCCTCTGGAAACCCCTACTCCAGAAAAGACAGACATGGACATAGATACTATCCAGGGCAGGGCAAGAGGGAGGGACCTGTGGCCAACATGCCATGATGGGGAACAGGAAAGGCTTCCTGGAGGAGGGGCTTTAGGAGCTAAGGCTTTGAAGGATAAGTAGGAGTTTGCCCAATGGGGACAGGCTCCAATTCCAGGCCTCCTCCAGACTAGAAGGATGAATGGATTGAGGAACGAGTCACCTCTTATCCTTCCTGTCCCTGGAAACAAGCATGAAGCAGGCGCCTCCCTGAGGCCAGGAGCTCTGCAGGTCGGAGGCTGTTAACCCTGGGAACAGGTATGCCTGGTGGGTGTCCCTGGGACACCCAGTGGAAAGGCGGAGCCCCAGGGCGTTGCCTGGACACCAGGATAATGAGCATTTCCTGGCACCACCAAGGAAGCTGCCAGAAACACCCACGTACCCCCACCCTGACTGACTGCTCCTTGGATGACTGGAAGGACCTACCTGGTTGTGTGACTTTGGGCTACTCATCGCCCCCCTTTGAGCCTCAGATTCCTCTTCCTCCCTACCCTAGCTCTGGGGATTCTGTGGCCTCCAGCTAGAGGTGGAGGTCTTGCCTCCACCCCTGGCTGCAGTTCAGACTGGCCTGGCCCACAAGAAGGGAGGGTACTCCATTCCCTCACCAGTGAAGATTCTCCGGGGTCCGGACATTGTCTGAGGGCTGGGAAGGGAACCAGCCAGTCCCTGTCTGGGCAGCATGGGCGGCAGCTGAGATGCCAGCAGGTATGAACCTTGGCCGGGTACCAGTGGCCAGGGCAGGGCAGCTCTCTCCTGGGCCATCCTGCCTCCTTCACTTCCACGTGCCTCACCTGCAGCCCACCATGTGTGTGCCGTTCACTGTTCCCCTGGGATCTTTGCAGCTGAAGACCCAACAGCTCTGAGGGTGTGTTCTGTGCGTGTCCCTATGTGTGTATCTGGAATGCAAAGTCACACTACTGCGTGAACATGGTAGTATTCAAGTGTGATCATGAGCATGTGGTAGTGTGTAAGTGTCATAGTGCAGGAGTCTCAAACCTCCCAAGTGGCCCTACCCAGTTTGGCCCAGTGGTTAGAGTGTCGGCCTGTGGACTCAAGGGTCCCTGGTTCGATTCTGGCCAAGGGCATGCCCCTCAGTTGCAGGCTCGATCCCTGGCCCCAGTCAGGGGGCGTGCAGAAGGCAACCAATTGATGTCTCACATCGATGTTTCTCTCTCCCTTCCACTCTCTCTGAAAAGCAATGGAAAAAATATCCTCAGGTGAGGATTAAAAAAATTTTAAAATAAAATCACCCAAGTGTGTGAGTGTGAAACATTAGTGTGTGAGTGAGTGTGATCATGTTTGAGTATGTGAGTGAAAACATGAGTGTGTGATTGTGTTCAAGTGTATATGTCACGTTCAAAGATTAAGGGTGAAAACAACCAAGAATGTGATAATGTTTGAGTAGGGGTGTGAAAACACCCCAGTGTGTGAGTGTGTAAGTGTTTGGGTGTAAGCGTGAGAACTCCCAAATGTGTGTGTGATAGTGCTCAAATGTGTGAATGGGAGGATTTCAATGTGTGTGAAGATGTCCAAATGCATGATTGTGAATATGAAAACACTGAGCGTGTAAATGGGAGTGTTTGAGTGTGTGAAAACGCTCACGTGAGTGGGATACAGTGTGTGCAAGAATAAGTATGCTGGGTGTGTGAGCCCCAAGTGCTCTGTGAGGGCACCCACCTCCCCAGGTCTCGGGGCCTCCATTACACAAGCACACCTGGCCCCTCCCCCGTGCCCTCCGCCACACCCGAATCACCCCCTCCCGGTCAGCTCGGTGCCAGAGACAAACCAGTTGGGTGACCCCCTTACAGAAAGACCCATTGTTAACCGATGCTTATCAGCTGGCTTGCTGGGCCCCCTCCACTGTCAGCCCCCCTGCTTTCCTGTCCCCCATCAGAGCTCTGATGGGGTCTAGTGCTTCAAGGCCATGGGGAGGGGGGTAGTTAGGGAGGGGAACTCCTGTGACCAGGCCGTCTCTTGGCTGGTGTCTCATCCACCCTTTTAGCACCCACTTAAGCCCTTAGCAGAGGCAGAGGATCACAGCCTGGTGCTATGCTGGGCCTTGTTCCAGCCTAACAGGGAAACTGAGACACACTACTCCAAGACTTGGGTGTGTGAGCAAGCAGGGTGTTGGGGTCAAGAGAAAGCCGTGCCCACCAGAGGTCTTGAGCCTGGGTGGGTTTCCCTGCTATCTCCCCCTACCAGCTCTGTGACCTTGGGTAAGTCATGTGACTACTCTAGGCCTCAGTTTCCCCGTCTGTGAAATGGAGATAAAGACTCTTGTGAGGTTGAAATGACTTAATATGTGTTGTCTGTAGAACAGGATCTGACATAAAAGGGGGTGGGTTTGGGAACCTGACAAATGGGCTGACCTCTGTTTGCTGCACAACCTTGAGAATGAAATATTCTCTCCACAGTCCATAAGGCCCCAAGGACCTGCGCTGTTACCTCCCCTCCCTCACTCTGCTCCAGCCACATGGGCACCTCCTGGTTCCTTCAACAAGCCAGGCCTGGTCCTGCCCCAGGACCTTTGCAAATGCTGTGCCCTCTGATATCCAGGCTGGCCCAGGGTTTGTTTATATGCCCCCATGTCTAGGAGCTCATTCTCTATCACCTCCACCACCAACAGTAATAAAGATTATGGTATCAATAGTGGCAAGTCCTTGGGGTGACTCCACAGCATTTGCTCTCAACCCTGGCCCAACCCATGTGATGTGAATCCTGTTAAAAAACACACCTTCAAATTTCAGGTCCTTTTCTAGCCAAATGCCCTTGAACAAGCCCCTCTCTGTTTTGTGCCTCAGTTTGCGCAGCTGTAAAATGGATATAATAGTGACTCTCTCGTGGGTTCAGCACGGTTTGGTATAGAGCAGGCGCTTAATAAATGCCCACTATTACGGTCCGTTGGGTATAGTCCTGTGCCTTTGCATTCATGCGACTGGGGAGAGCTCTGCAGGAAGCCCGAACAGCCAGATTACGCAAATCACATGCGAATGAAATGCAAACAACACGCAAATGAAATGCATATTGCACGCAAATAACTGCTCTGCGCCTGGGTGAGGAGCTTGTGCGCCGAGGTGCGCGCTTGGGGGCGCCCGGCACCCCACGGCCCAGCCCGGGCGCTGACCCGCGTCCAGCCCGGCTTTCAGCGCTCTGTGTAAATGTTTACACCGGGCCTGTCGCCAGGCCCCGCGCGGGCCGGCACCAGGCAGCCGGGTGGGGGAATGTAAACCCGGGCTAGGGGCCGCCAGGCGGAGGGGAGCTGCTTGGAGACGGTTAGGGGGGATGGGTGTACACGAGGGTTATTAAACACCTACTGTATGCACTAAGCACGACGCTCCCAGGCAGTCACAGCACCGAGTAATGGGAGTTCTAATGGGGGCTGCTCAGGGCCTGGGTGTGAGGGCAGTCAGGGCAGGCTTCCTGGGGGAGGTGCTGGTCCAAGCTGAGACTGAAAGGGTAATGGGAGTGGGGAGGGAGAGAAAGTGTTCTGGGTGAAAGGACCTGCTTGAGCAATAGTCTGGAAGTGGATGAAGAGCAGCTTTGGTTCATTGCAGCCCCTTTCTGGGCATCAGTTTATGTCTGGAGGGTAAACCCAGGCTCTGAAAGGGGCAGCAAGTCACTCCCAAGGACATCATATGTAGGGAACAAAATCTCAACCCCTGGGTTTCTGCTCCCTGGACTGTATTCTAAGCACTGGGTCTCCTGGCCACCCTTGTCCCACAGTACCCCCTGTTGGGAATGCCTCCACCTTTCACTCTTTCCCTAAACACACTGGGCTCCAGCCACTCCAGCCTCTTGTTGGATTGGCCAAGCTTGGTTCAGCCTCTGTACCTTTGCACTGGCTCTTCCCCCTGCCTGAGATGCCACTCCCTTCTGCCTAGCCAAGTCTTACTTTTGGTGAGGTCTCAGCTTTCCTCAACCCTCAGGAAAGCACTCTGGGACTCCCAGATGGGGCAGTTTCCTATACCCCTGATACAGCGCCCACCCCTCCTTAGCAGCGTTTTTCACACTCATGTTCTGTGATTCCTTGCTGAATAACATGTTATTACTGATAGTTAAGCAGCAGTAGTTCAAAATCATGGTCCCCACTATGTTCCCAGTGCCTGGCCCAGTGTCCCGTGCTGGTTTGTTGCCTGGCAGACAGGCCTTTTGGTTGACCATCCCGTGCCCGCAGGCCGAGGATGCAGCGCTGGAAGGCAGCGGCCTTGGCCTCAGTGCTCTGCAGCTCTGTGCTCTCCATCTGGATGTGTCGGGACGGCCTGCTCCTCAGCCACCGCCTCGGACCGGCGTTAGCCCCGCTGCGCCGGCCACCTCGCACCCTGGATGCCCGGATCGCCCGCCTGGCCCAGTGTAAGCCCTTCCCCTGGTCTTGGGTCAGATACCCCTGACATAGGTATGGCCATACTGGTGGAATTTCAGGCAGTGGAACCAGGCCACAGAGGCCTTTTTAAAGATGGGGTGGAGGGAGGGTGCAAATCCCCCAATGGCATGGCATGGCAGGATGTGTGTGTAGGGGATGACTCCTGGGAACTAGGGTCTCTTGGCTCAGCTGTCACAAGGAATTAGGCTCCGTCCCTCAGGGGCCAGGGGGCCAGATGGAGATTAGACCTAGGAACTCAGCAGGGTGCATCCCCCCCCGCAGCACATGGGGGGGGGGAGCTGGACCCGAGGCCCCAGTGACCTGCATGGGTTGATAGGGACCAAGAAGAGGGGGAGACAGAGAGAGACCTAGAAACAGACCTACACATGGGGAAAGAGACAGATATAGAGAGGCAGAGAGAGAGAGACAAAGGTGGGAGAGACAGACGTGGAAAAGGCAGTGAGGTAGAGAAGTGAAAATCCCACCTAGGGAGCATGGCCACCTGGCACAGCTCCTCACTTGCCCCTGGTGCTTGCCCTCTGCAAGTTCTCTGTGGGCCCCGACCTTGTGTGCACACGCACAGGACCATGCAGTGTGCCCGTGAGGGTGGCTGGGGTGTAGGCGCAGGCTGGGCACATGCATGGTGCCTGTGAGTGGGGGCTGCATGCATGCCCGCCCTGCCAGACCACACAGTCCTTCTTTCTTGTCCTCACAATGGACAAGGGTGGCCTCCGGCAGGGACTTCACTTCCGTCCCCACCATTTGCCCTCGTAGGCCTCAAAACCCTTCCCAGGACACTGGGTCCCAGAGACCTGGGTGGGGCCCCCAAAAGCTAGCGCTCCAGGACCTGGGGGCAAAGTACCAATGGTGAAATCCACTGGGAAGAATCTGGGCCCATGGGCGGATGCCTGCCAGCCCTGTGTCCTGTACTGGGGGAAGGGAGTGGCTGTTGATCCCCCTAAGGCCCTGGGACTAATGCGCTGATGGTGGAATTTCAGGCTGGGGGCGGGGAGCAGATCTCATCTCTTTGCGTTCCAGACCCTGTGCACGTGGCCAGGCCTGCTGGAGGGATGCAGGGACAGATATACTGAAAGATTATTCACTGTTTATCTGAAATTCAAATTTAACTGGGCATCTGTATTTCATCTGGCAACCCCCCAAATGACTCTCTAGATGTACACCTTGGGGTGTGCATACTAAATGGTGGCATTTTAGGCACCAGAAGTAAGCCACGTTCAAATCTAACCCCAGAGCAGACAGTGCTGACCATCCCAGTCTGGCCCTTGGGCTGCAAGAACTCAGAAAAGGCTGCTCATTCATCCCCCACTTTCCATTCTCCCAGCCACAACCACCTCAGGGACTCTGCAAGCCACATTGAGCAGACAGGGATATTGGCATAGCAGGGCCATCACCTGCCTGAAGTTGTACAAGGAGAGTGGCAGAGCTAGGCTCAGAACCTGGGCTTGTCTGCTTTCTGAGACCTGCTGTGGAAACAGACAACCTCAGGGTGACAGACAGTCCCTCCCGCTCAGGCTTCTCAGTAAGATACTTCTTTTGACAGCCAGGTGCACCAGCCTTGTGGGCAGGTTGAGGCTAAACTCAGGATTTCCTCTCCCAACCTGTGACTGCAACCATCAGGGGCTGGGAGCCTCCTGCCAGCCATTCCAAAGTCTGCACTTCTCTCCTGGGGCTTCACAGTACAACAGGTCCTCAATTAAAGTCATTTCCTTCAACATAGTTGTGTTATAATGATGAGATGCCGCAGGAACTTAACTCTTGTTTATATCAATTAGCCTTTGGTAAAACTGGTTTCATTCTGTCGTTTTGCCGCAGTTCCAACAACCTACTGACGACGTTAAGTAAGGACTTACTGTACTGGGGCAGGGCCAGCCTCTTGGGAAATAAACTTAGACTACGGGACCCTGAGATTCTGTGACTATGGGCACCTTCGGGCAGCTGTGAAAGAAAAGGGCTGAACTTGGGCCAAACTTGGGCACTCGATGGAGGCGGAAAGAATGCTGTTTGGTTTTCTCTCTCTCACTGCCACCTGCTAGTGGTGTGGCCTTGGCCAAGTCTCTGCTCTTTTGGGTACCCAGTTTTCTTACCTATAACATGGGAGTGGCCCTGACAATAGCTGCTGCCACCCCATGGGGTGGGGTCCCCATACAGGCCTCTGTGCCTGCTGCTCCACTGTGTGTTCTAGGGAGCCCAAACACCCCGATTTGGGTTTCTGTATGGGAAAACTGAGTCCTATTGCACAGTGGAGCAGCAGATACAAGGTGAGGGGTTGTGAGCAGTCCAGGGGCTCAGAGAAGATGTTGGGGCTTTGAGCAAGGACCTGAGACAGTGAGGCAGAGACCCATACAGCTCAGCTAAAGGGTGAGGGGTTGGGTGGGGGAGGCAGCACTCCAACACTGGTCAGAGGACGTGTCAGTACCCTGGGGCAGCCCAGCATAGGGATGAGATCCACAGACAGTGTTGGGGGATGGTGCCCAGAGGGGCTGAGACACCCAGATCAGATCTGCTCAGGTGGGCCGGCTGGAAAGTGGTGCGGGGAACCCAGAAAGGGTTAGCCAGGCTCTGAGCAGCTCAACATAGGGCAGGGTCCAGACAGCGGCGTTGGTAGCCTTGNCTAGCCAGAAAGGGTTAGCCAGGCTCTGAGCAGCTCAACATAGGGCAGGGTCCAGACAGCGGCGTTGGTAGCCTTGGGGACCAGCGTTGGGGTCCGCATATGCACCCCTCCAACACCGCCAGAGAGGGTACAAGAGCGGGTATCTAGGAAATGCGCTATGACCCCAGCTTCCCCGCATGGGTCATTTTTTGCAGGGGAATAGCGAGGGCAGGGGCTCCCTGCTGCCCACCCACTGATGCCCACCCCCTTCTCTCCCTCCCCGCGCAGACCGTGCCCTGCTGCAGGGCGCCC